ATACTCTAAAGAGACACATGCGCACTCACACAGGAGAGAAACCGTTTGCGTGTGAGAGATGTGAATATAAGTGTTCTACGTCCGATAAGCTTAAGTCACACATGCGCACTCACACGGGAGAGAAACCGTTTGCGTGTGAGAGATGTGAATATAAGTGTTCTACGTCCGGTATGCTTAAGATACACATGCGCACTCACACGGGAGAGAAACCGTTTGCGTGCGACACATGTGAATACAGGTGTAGGAGCTCCGGTCATCTCAAGATACACATGTGCACTCACACGGGAGAGAAACCGTTTGCATGTGAGATATGTGAATATAAGTGTTATGCGTCCGGTATGCTTAAGATACACATGCGCACTCACACGGGAGAGAAACCGTTTTCATGTGAGAGATGTGAATATAAGTGTTCTAGGTCCGATAAGCTTAAGTCACACATGCGCACTCACACGGGAGAGAAACCGTTTGCATGTGAGAGATGTGAATATAAGTGTTCTAGGTCCGATAAGCTTAAGTCACACATGCGCACGCACACGGGAGAGAAACCGTTTGCATGTGAGAGATGTGAATATAAGTGTTCTACGTCCGATAAGCTTAAGTCACACATGCGTACTCACACGGGAGAGAAACCGTATGCATGCGGTACATGTGAATACAAGTGTACGACCTCCAGTCAGCTTAAGTCACACATGCGCACTCACACGGGAGAGAAACCGGTTGTGTGCGACACATGTGAATACAGGTGTAGGACCTCCAGCGATCTCAAGAGACACATGTGCACTCACACGGGAGAAAAACCGTTTACGTGCGACACATGTGAATACAGGTGTAGGAAATCCAATGATCTCAAGGTACACATGCGCACTCATACGGGAGAGAAACCGTTTACGTGCGATAGTTGTGAATACAGGTGTACGAGATCCGGTGATCTCAAGATACACATGTGCACTCACACGGGAGAGAAACCGTATGCATGTGAGAGATGTGAATACAAGTGTTATACGTCCGGTATGCTTAAGTCACACATGCGCACTCACACGGGAGAGAGGCCGTATGCGTGCGATATATGTGAACACAGATATACTACCCTCGGTTATCTCAAGGTACACATGCGCACTCACACGGGAGAGAGGCCGTATGCGTGCGATATATGTGAACACAGATATAGGATCCTCCATACTCTCAAGGTACACATGTACACTCACACGGGAGAGAAACCGTATGCATGCGATACATGTGAATACAAGTGTACGACCTCCAGTGACCTCAGGAAACATATGCGCACTCACACAGGATAAAAGCCGTACACGTGTG